AACAAATGCACGAAATCTTTGTAAAATGTTGTTATGTTTACCTTAAGGCTGTACAAAACTTCTTTGTTGTCTGCCGAACAGACGCCGGGATGTACAATTTCGCAGCAAAATTTCTCATGAGGCAGAAGCTGGTTTTTTTCAGTTCGTTTAATAATTGCTCAGTTGAACGCTTTGCTGCGGCGTCTATTCGCTTCCTCAGATCGGCCTCGATAGTTTTAAGATATTGCCGATCGTCTTTCTCCAAAGCACATCTCACGGCTTTGTAAAGATCTGACATGATTAATAAATAGTTTTGATAATAAAATTTTTCTTTTGAGTTTAATAATCGTTCGAGTTTTCGTTGCTGTCAAAACGACGATGACGTCAATCAGAAAGGTCAAGGAAAAAAGGAACCTTGCGGTTTGCACGCTCTCAGGTCAAGGTCAGATCACACTGATCGATCAGAAAAATACAACCAATGAGAATTGAGATAGATTTTGAATTAGCCAATTGAATAGCCCAATTCGAGCCCCTGATAGCTTCACCGATCAGAACTCCCCACAGATCGCGCAAAAAGAGAGACAGCCAATCAGATGACTGGGATTTGATGACGAAGCGAGCAAAATTCATGCATAAGACCGCTTTTCTGCGCGCTCGTGCTTGAAGGCCTGGTCACGGAACTCTTTTAACAACTGGACTGCCAAACATCACCAGTGCCCGATCAGCTCAATACACTGCACGTGTTAGCAACTGGACTGCTACTTCATTCAAACACTTTTCTTCGCAATTTTTACCTTAGTCGCGTGATCGCTCTGATCACCCCTAGATCCGCCCCTGTATTCAGGCCATTTTCGCGACGTCCTAGGCGTCGCGTATTGTTTGCTAAATTTCTTTTGATGGAAAAATTTGATTAGATTCATTTATTATGTACCTTTGCAAGCTTGTCCGTTATATTTGAAACCCTTATCACAATGACAAATTTCTGAGCCATTAGTGTTAGAACAATGGCCGTGAATACATGGAATTTTTGTGCATTTTCCTGCAAAGGAGAAAAAATACTCCATAAATTTAGTATTCTAGGAATAAAGTTTCAGATATGCATAGTTTGTCTAATTTAGCTGCTGACAGCAGCGTAGTGACTCGTACAGGGTCGCTAGCCTCTTTGGCGGTTGATAGCATATAACTCAAATACTTGATATTTATGCTGCTATCAGACTTTAACCATTTTTCTTGCTATCAACAGATCAGGCATTATAATACGGAATTTTTACAAGGACACACATTGTCTTTAGGTTCAATAATCACTTAGTCTTAGAAATTACAACGTGAAATTACAACGTAAGCATATAAAAAAGAGCATAGCCATGCAAAGCAAACTTTATAATAGAAACAATAATTATTTTAAATAGTCAAATTAAAATTATGTTAGACATTTTTGTCCATGAGGCATGATTTTTAACTACACACTTTTCCATTTACAAGGACACATTCGCCTTTCACAAGGACACAAAGTGTGTCAAAAACACGCGTATTATAATGCCTGCAACAGATGTAATTGATAATTAGGTGAACTAGCATGGTTAGGTTTTCACTTCAATAATGGTAATTGCTCAGCTTTTAAATATTTACACCTCAAATTAAATGAATCATCAAGATACGTAAAAATTTACGATATTAGCGCCCATGCAAATTTAATAGCGTATTTATAGATGTGTCTAAATTATGTAAAATCGCAGCATAGCAGCAAATAATGTGCAAGTTCTTAAACATCACATTGCCGTTTCATTGACGTAAAGTTCACTGCTGGAAATAATGCAAAAGAATCGTTAGTCTACAGGCACAAAATTAAGCCCAATTTACACCACATGAATTTTTGGCACAGGCCGCTTAGAATTGGGCCCGAGGACCAATGGCACGAGAAACTCAAATAGGTAGTTTCGGCCCGTATAAACAGTGTTCGGCCGACTAAAACAATGTTTAGCTTCTTTTTTCAGTAATCTGGCAACCCTGCATGTTTTAAATTTGCACGCCAGTAAAATAATAGCCGTAATTAACTATAAATCTGCGTGCAATTGCTTGAAAGCTCGCTGCAAAATATCCAGTCGTAACATCTCCACCTTAACATGAAATTAATAGTGTTTGCAATGTGTCTGTTTTCCTTGCTGTATGTTTGTCCGAATGAATTTTTGTAGTACTGTATGATTTGCGCGTAAATTTATAATTAGAACAAATGGATAATAATAATATGAAGTCATGTGACTAAAACAATGAACCGATTTGGCGTCCGAAGCCCACAGTTAAACAGATTTATAGAAGTTTCTTGTTCGCGAGACAAACTTTGTGAAATCAGCCATTGAGTAGGATGGATTTTTTAAGGGTGAAACTCGTTGACATCGATGATAATCTCGTTCACAGAATCACCTAATTTCTTCATCATACATCAGGGAATGAACAATATTTGAATTCTTTGTTTAGTTTTAGCGAAATTTTAAGAATAAGTTAAATTTTCACCACACACCTCAGTTCAAATCTTTACATTCCTTGGTCATATGCCCAATAATATACTTGATTTCAGAAGCTAAAGATCAAAGAGTTTTCGTGGATGGTCCGTCCAAAAATTCTGATTTGTAACATCGACTGGATGGTCCGTCCAAAAATTCTGATACCGTTCCTGAAAGACTGTCGAACGTTCTACATCACCTCTCAACTAACACGACAACTGAAAAATTACATCAGTTGTAGACCAGACCCAGAGGCCCAACATTGGGATGCTTTCACGGTCAACGGAAAGGTCTTGCGGGATATGCCTTCCCACGGTTCAACTTAGTCCCTATTGTTCTCAAAAAAGTTATGTCAGGCCAAACAGGGTTCGTCTTAATAGCGCCAATTTGGCAAGCCCAGCCTTGGTGCCCTTACTAATCAGCCTTCTCGTCGAACAACCGACTCTCCCACCAAACAACAAACATCTCGTGATAAATCCATCTGACCCTTCAATTCATCCGATGTGTCCACGTCTACATCTGGGCGTATTTCACAACTTGTTGCCTTGATTTTTCCAAAGAGAGTCTCGCCCCTCTCTGATTGGGACCTCAATCATGCAAGCTTTTTCCAGAAGGTCTAGCTTTTACTTTATTTGCCACAAAGACTCGACCGTATGAGGCCGTTTCGGCATTTCATACTTGTTTTCTTCGGATGACCGTAGGTAATGACAGTGGCATGTTTTAAACATTACATTTCAACGACGGCGGAGTTTAGGGAAACTTCAAAAGACCAATCCGATAAGTTGTTCCTTTCATTTATTAAACCTCATAAACCAGTCAGTTCAGCAACGCTTGCACGCTGGATTCGTTCAATGCTGGGTCAGGCAGATATAGATACAAAAATCCTGAAAGCGCATTCAGAAAGGGCAGCAGCAACATTAGCAGCTGCCAACTGATCTGTTCCCTTAGATGAGATACTGAAGATGGCTGACTGGAATAAAGAGTCCACTTTTCGACAGTTCTATTACAGACCTATGGTATCGACACCAAATTTTGGTCGTGTTGTCTTAAATTGATCATAATAAAGTCTTTAGACTGATATTTTTTGTACGGAGAGAAATGAAGCAAGTTCAAATTAAATATCAATTTACTGTTGTAGTGTTGAACTCTACCGCTTGTACTCTCATATATTTCAACCGGAGTTCCCCAAATATAATTCGAATTATACAAGGGTTGTTCCAGCCTGAGAGTACAACTTCGGTTATATGAGGGAACGAAAGGAGAAATATATGATCCCTCCCTTTACCCCTCCCATTTTTCATGCAGGGTTAAATAAGCCACAGCAGGTTCATGGGACAGGTCAGTTCAGGGGGGTAGTACCTATGTTTTCTGGGTTCTTGGGTTAAAAAGTGATGTGAAGCACAGATTGGTATGCCATACCGCTTGTATTCTCATATATTTCGCATTTCGTTCCCTCATAAAACCAAAATCATACTTGCAGGCTGGAATAGCCCTTGTATAATTCGAATTTCATCGAAAACGATTTTGCTTTGGATAGTTCGCTGACATCCATGCATATTATTTTGAGAACAACGAGGAATATTACACGACATAAATATATTGATAGGACAATCTTTTGTGCTTTAATGAGAGCTCTTGTTGTTAGTGACGTGAAGTTTTGTGATGCATGTCCCTATTGAGAAAACAGAAACATCGTATATTTTCATGAAATTTTCCGCATTTTCTGAAAAAGCCTGTGTTTAGTATAGTTCTCTTGTATATTATCGTATTTTTCATTCTATTGTATTGATAGGCATATTTTGGTTTGGGATATTGTATATTTTTGTGAGATATTGCGGAATATAGTAGCATAGTTCTCTGACATCGAATCTTACGTGTTTTTCCTATGAACAAGGAATGTTAAAGATAATATTTATGTAGGTTCATGAATGGTATCGGCTGTTGCATTAAAAACGCTTCATTTTTTGACGTTGGTAACGTTTTGTGATATTTTATGCTTGGTTTGCTCGAAAGAGAGTTTTTATTGAATGCATATGTGGCCGTATTGTTTTTTCCTCTTGTATTTTGCATTTATATTTTGCTCATACAGTGGAGAAGAAGGAAGTAAAAAAAGTTTGACTGAATACGTTGCGAAGACAGTTTTTTTGTGGCGCAGCTCTGATTGAATTAATCGGTGCCTAAACAATTCCGCATAATTTTCTGTAATGTTCAACAGGGCAAACAACAACATCGCAAGCCATAATTCGATTGTATCATAACAACTGCATTGTCAGATGCTCTGCCTTAGACAAGGAGCTATGGCTCAGATTTATTGTAATAAATTTAAATTGTCGGATATCCGTGTATATAAACAAAAACCAAAATAAATTGAGGGGTTTTCATTTCATAAAATCTATATATGAAACTGCAAAATGCTCCGTGTGTGAGAGCGAGGAAATTATTTTTTTCGACGGAAGATTTATTCTAATGTCTGTTTGGTAGTTTCCTAACATAAAAGCGATTCAAGAAGTGAACCTTACACTAACATTTACCAGAATGTACGAACTTACCTTCAGGCTGTCGATCTTTGTCTACGACGAGACGCTTTCTCACGTCGAAGCCTTTTGGTAACGGAATATAACGAGATATATTTCTGCTGGTTACATTCATTTTTATGACAATGGGTGAACTTCTTTCTTTCCAGTAAAGAAAATCTCCAACACCGTCCACTGACATCCATCTCCGACGATCAGCTGAACTATAATTAGTTGTTTGATTGCTGTTACGGCCATCGTAATCCATTTCAATTATGACATTAACTGTTCCCCAACCCTCGTACGCGTACACTCGCTTCCTGTTGTAATCCAGAGTCACATAGTAAAAACCATTTCTGTTGAAACCATGTATTTGTTTTTCCTTTTTAGTAGCCAAGTGGCTTCGCATCACCTTTCCTCCATCATACTCAGTCCAAAATAAATATCTACAGTGAACAACAATACAGAATTATAATAATTATTAAAACTGGTTCAAAGTCAGCTATATATATATATATAATCTGAGATATTGCGATTTAAGGGAACAGAGTGATGACAGCGGCTACAAATACAATAAATAATTTATTTATTGACAGACATACGCCCGTATTCTAAAAGTTCACTCAGACTCAAACTCATTGAGTCGGAGTTCTCAATCTTCTCATAACATTTCAATGCCGGTATTTTCAGTCGAATACGATCTAGCTTGATTCTGAGTTTTTTACCTTCGATCTTTCCATTGACCAAAAAGAATTTTCTCATTGATCATGAAGTAATAACAAAATTTCTATATCACTCTCAATGAGTGTGCGTGAGCCTTTGAATACAGGCGATAGACTTGCAATTGATTTCCGCGAATACCGCGCTCAGGGTGCTGCAAAGCTTAATCGTTGTAAGAAATGTATCTCTTCATGTCGAAGTTTGTATTCCATGCCAGATTTATCGCTTTATACAGGCGAGATCGCTTATTGCAAACCGTTAAAATAAAAGTTAAACAATCAGCGGAGAATATCTGCAGACGATAACACTGCGCATGCCGACTCCATTGTGCGGAATCCCTTTTCCATTCTAGCTACTTGAAGTAGCGCTTTCATGCTCTGCTGACGGGCTTCCTTTTCACGCCTAAAAACGATCAGGTTTATGCAGTATTGATATAAACAGGATTGAAAAATGTTGTGCTGCCCACATTGTTCAGAGTTGTTATCAACATTGAACAATATTGTTACATGACAAGTGTGAACAATAATGGCAGCACAACATTGTTATATGTTGATAAACCGCCGGCTCAGAGTTTTTAGCCCGGTATGATATTTTCCCGATTTCCAGTTTCAAAATTTAACCTGCGTGGAATGCTACCCTAGATCTGGGCTGGAAACTATGACCTACTCTATCATTCCTATAGAGGAGATATGAAAGAGTAATTCATATCTTGATATGAATAGACATATGAATAGAATTTTGATAGACATCGCTTGTGGTTATGTCAAAATCCCATGAGGTAATAATAATGCCTTGTACCTCATTCTTATTGTTATTTGAACTTGAGTATTGCGCTCTTTTGCTGGGATATCAAAACAACGTTTCATGCATACGTCCTATGACATGGCCGGAATTGTGAGAAATTAACAGCACTTACATTACTGTCCAAAAATAACCCAACAAAAAACGCCGTTAACCTATATGTCAAACCTTGGTCTGACGACAGTTGAACCCAGGTCAGACCGAGGTCGAACTAACTTGTGAGGCTGGCTACACCACTGCATGAATTTAAGGAAAGAAAGTTATAGTTTCCCTCAGCTGATCACTGCACATCATGCGTAACTGATTATTTAGTCCAAGTACTGGCAAAAATTTAGTTGCATTTATGGACAGAAATGAGAACCAATGTACAGAACCGCCTCCGACAAGTTTTAATCCGGAATACAAATTTTTGGCCATTGATAAAGAAGTTTTTGAATTTTTATCTGAAAACATAATTGAGGAAACGCATTCTGAGAGTGGTGAGGTTTTTCCCAATTTTTATTCGGCCTAAAAAGGAGCCAGGATAATTTGTGTGAGTGATTTTCAACCTTAAAAGTCTTAATGAGCTGTCACTTAACGCAAGTTCAAAATGGCCACTTTAGAAACAGCTATAAAACCTCACTGTTTCACCAATACAAAATACCAATACCTTAAATTATCTTAGAGAGGGAAACTTTATTAATAATTATTACTGCTTCACCAATGGGACAATATCGAACACACCTGTGATCAAAATTTGGTCACTCTTGTCTCGGTTACATTCATTACTCCATTTACATCGAAGATTCTCTCCGGTTGTGCAAAGATGTTATTTTTTATGCAACTCAGTTATTTGTTCAACTAGGGTTTGTACCAGATCATTCTAAGTACTGGCTAGTTTGTACCAGATCATTTGTGCAAAAATTATCAAAGTTTCTCGAAGTTACTATTCGACAGTTAGCTTCTATTATTGAAACTCTTGTCTCTGCATTCCCTAGAGTTGAATTTGGACTGTTATACTATAGAGCATCACAGCGTGATAAGACCCTATAGCATTACGACACTCATACGGAGATTTTGAACAAAAATTATGGTGTCTATCAAAGGCCAGTATTGATGAAATTAAGTGCTGGGTATCTTCCCTACCAACTGCATTTATAGGATCATGGTATCCCGGCTCATTTGAGTATGACAACTCACATATAGGTTGGGGAGCCGTTGTTAACGAAACTAGCACGAAAGGCTGTGGTCCACACACGAAATGGAATTCATATTAACGTCTTAGAACTTCTGGCCATAATGTTTGAGTTAACATTACCTCTTGATAGCACCTGTGAAACGCATATCTGAATTCAATCAAATAATACAACAGCTGTCACAGATGTAAATGCAATGGGAGGATGCAAATCTATAGAGTGTGATAATGTTAGTAAAGATATTTGGTTATGGGCCATAGCTCGCAATAATTGGTTATCGGTCGCGTTAACTCCGGGCAAACAAAATACTGTTGCTGATGAACTTCCACGAGAATTTAATGCGGAATTGGAATGGACTTTACATCCATCTGTATTAAATTGGATTACCGAGCACTTTAATCAACCCGATGTTGATCTATTCGCCAGCCGGATAACAACCAAACTGACGTTTATATTTCGTGGAAACCAGACCCGAATGCCTCTTTTGTTGATGCATTTTCAGTGAGTTGGGTAATGTTCACTAACAGTTAGGCATTACCACCTTTTTGCTTAGTTGCTAGGTGCCTACAGAAAGTATTACAAGAAAAAATTACCATGATCATTAAGGTTCCAATTTGGACGACTCATGTATGGAAACTTTTTACTTTAATAATCGATCATCCATGGAGCTGCAGAGTGTTCCAGAATGTTCTCTTTAAAGCCTATACAAGGATCAACTCACCCTCTCAGTCCAAAATTAATCTTAATGGAAATCAAATTATCGGGAATAACATCATTGAGTGCAGCGTTCATGAAAGTGTTGCCGACGTCATTATGTCTTCATGGAGACCAGCGACTTACAAGCAATACAACGTTTACATTGCAAAATGGTCCAAGTTTTGCCTTCAAGTGCTAATTAATCCAACGCTACCCTCTGTGAATAATGCGTTAACTTTTCTTGTTGGTTTATATGACCAACATTATCTTACCCTGCCATAAATACCGCTCGTTCAGCTTTGTTCAGCTATTTAATGGACGCTAAATTTATTAGAACACACTATAGAGTAACCACTCATATATTCATTGTTCGCTTCATGAAATCAGTGTTTAATTCCAGAAAGCCAGCCGCCAAGTATGACAAAACATGGAATGTCAATGTCGTATTAGATTATTTAAAAGGAATGTCCACTGCTGCTCAGTTATCTTTAAAAGACCTTTTCTTAAAGCTTGTCATGTTACTTGCCCTCATGCACGTCGGGTCAACGATGTCAAACCTTGACTTTTCAGGATCTTCAAAGTATGAGGAAAACAGAAACTATTATGAATTTCATCTTACCAGTAATTTAAACAGAATTGACCTGGTAATACGTTCTTAACCTTTTATGCAGGGAAATATCAACAAAAAGAACTGTGCGTCTATACCATGCTTTGAAGACGTATTTATTTATTAACTTTGCCAAGTATGATGCAACATTTACCAGTATATTTACAACAATATATAATATGGAAAATTGGCAGGGTGCACGCTACAGTTTTCACCAATTACAGCGGCCCCATAAACTATACTAATACTATACAACAAACACAAATCTAATAACAACACGATATTTGACAGGACAGATTACGAGACTTGTTACAAGACAAAAAGATTAAAAAAGATTTGAGTAGAACTTTGAGATTAAGGAAGGCCACATCTACAAAATTACTGCTTTCTTATGGGAAACCGCATGGTCCTAAAGCATGTGGGTTGTTCATTGGTCTCTGTGTTTCGGAAATTCTATAACAAACCTATTATTAATGATAATCTATTCAAAATTCTGAGTTACAATAGATCGTCTGAGTTTTGCACTTTTATAGGCTGTGTCCACAATTGTTAAAGTCTCCTGTTAACCGGAAGTAGCTACGTAACTACGGTTTGGTAGAATTATCATCAAACTTCAATTTGAGGTATGTCTCAATTAATTTTCAATTAATTACCTCATAAAACACTCGAATTATCATTTTTTGTGGATATTACTAAAGAATCGTCATATAAATTAAGACCTCGTCGTTGTCTCAAAGTAAAAAAAAAATATAGACGATTTGGTCGATAAATACGAAAGTATGTCGTCATGTCGATGCTACAATTATATGAATAATGATTTTCTATATAAGTAGTCGTAGGAAGATTACTTTTCTCTGTTTAATTAGACCATAGGCTTGTTTCTGCCTGTACTATGAAAATACATACCAAAAAACAAATACTGCTTACTGTTTTTAATTAAAAGCAGAGTTAGCTATCAAAATTCAAGAATCCTTGTCAGCTGACATATAATTGTAAATTATATGAAAGAATAAATCACTGAGGATGGAAAAGGTGTGTTATCTTTCTAGTATATTCTGCAAGTGGCGATACATTTCAATTATGTTTGCAGACACTTCAATAACCTCTACTAATGAGATAATATTAATTAATTATTGCCATATTCCTGTTTAATGTCCAGTGCATGATCTAGTAGGAAAAATACTGGTTCCCACCCTCTTGCCTGATTACCAGGTTAAACGTCTACAATGTTTGCAGAATGCATGTGAAGCTTTTGTACTTGGTAAACATGTAAATACAAATGAAGTTATTAAATTAAGATGGTTGCCTGTGTATGAAAGAAGAGAGTTATAAATCTTCTCAAGCTTGTTCATAAATCATTGTATAATGTGACCATATCTTAGAATCTTAAATTGCAACTGTATGTTGTACGTTAATAATTATAATTTAAGATCTGCTGCAGCTCCTCTAATTTATATTCCAATTAAGGAACGTGGCACCTTTCATGATATGACTTCAAAGACTTTTATCGGCTTGCTTTTGACATTAGAAAAATTGAACATTTCTCAATGTTTGTTAACGCAGTTAAAACTGACTTGCTTGCAAAAGTGAAAGCCTGCCTTGAATAAGGGAATCTTTGTTGATTTTATAGTATACTCCAGCCAACATTTTTATATATTGTACTGCTTAATTACTCAATTAACTTCTTAATTAGATACTTATTGAATACACAATAAATAATTGAAATATATTATATAATAGATGAAATAGTTGAATTGTACATGTTGAAATGTGGAAATACTTCTAATAAATCATTATCATTATCATATTTCATTGAGAATGAGAACAGATGATCATCATACATGTGCTTGGTATACACGGAAAAAACAACTTGAAGTCAAACTGGGGCTTAATTTAGTTTTGGATACTGTAAATGTAAGTACATACATTTTGTGATAATTTTTTTGTTCATGCCATGTATACATTATGTAAAGCCAAAATAGTTCTTTTCCAGGAGATAATTTTTCCAAATATAAGAATTTAAGAACTAGGCCGTTGGCTGTGACGCGAAAACACTCAGTTTCGTCGCCCCCAACGCGGTGCTAAGATATTTTAGCAGGGATTAGAAAAATAAAGTGTGCTGATTTCAAATATCTTTGTTCCCACACGCCAAACCGCGCAGTTTTTGCACAACTCACGGCCAAAGTTCTATATTTTCATATACTGAGAGCCATTATGAATTCCGCGGTATCTTTGATCTTTCGGCTACATTACTTGAAGTATCGAGAGTGTTCGAGAAACGTAGGCTCATATTAAATAACTCAAATTATAAAATATAAATAGGGATGAACCACCAAGAAGAACGCTTTCTGCACGACAATGTTTTATTCATTTCGAAGGTAAATCTGGGGAATTCTTCTCGTTCAAGTTAACACAGTTGATAAAACCTGAATGAGTTCAAAACGAGGGTTAGTTTGGATGAAAAACGTACTCAAATCGTGACCAATGTTGGACATCGCGAGCGTTAAACGCATTGTCTATATCTCGTATATTATAGAATATTTTGTACAATACGCGTATATAAAAGTTTCCATTACAGAAATATAACAAGATTATGTACTATAACTTCCAATATAGTAATTAATAAGATTTTCCAAGTATTAAATTGCTTATTTCTTCATGGACTTGGTGTTAGTATTACTCAAGGACAAGCCAAGGTTTTATTATACTGTATATAGAAATAGCTGTTTATAAAAGACGTGTATAGGAAATAAATATGCTCATATTGGTTTAGTTCGCTGTGTTGTTATTTCCATTTTAATTACACATTTTACATAGGTCGATCTGAGTCGTTATTCCCTATGAAAAATCTAACAGTCTTTGCAACTGTAAATGTAAGGCAGGGTGTTCAACCTTAAGATGTTCCTGTAAAAAGTCAAACAACAAGTGCAATGAAATGTGCCAGTGCGTTGGGTGCACAAATTGCCCCAACACATCTAGCGAAAGCCTTGAAGATGATTCGGAGGATGATTTGGGAAGTGATATGGAGGATGAAAACTAACGTTCTATACACCCAGTATTTGTTAATATAATTATATATATATATATATATATATATATATATATATATATATATATATATATATATATATATATATATTATACGTATTTTAGAATTATTTGTAGAATATCAGAGTTTACATGACCAAATTTTTGTCGTGATTTGATTTTGCTTCCCAACCATGTTTTTAGCCGTTTTAAAATTTTTCCAGATTTTATCGACTGTACTAACTTGAATGTGAAGCTAAATGTCACAATTCGCCAGATTTATCTTCAAAATGATTAAAATATTGCTGTGAAAGAAGCACTATTCTGGGAAATCATCCATATTTTCTGATTCGATTGTTTATGCGCCTACGTTTCGTGAGTACGTTTGATTACTTCAAGTAACGAAGTCGAAAGATCAAAGATACCGAAGAATTCAAAATGGCGCTCAGTTGATAAAAATACTGAACTTTGGCCGTACATTATGAAAAAACTGCGTGGTTTGACGTGTGGGAACAAACATATTTGAAATCAGCAGATTTTATTTACCTAATTCCCGTTTAAATATGTTAGCACCGCGGTAGGGGCGACGGAATTCAATTTCTAGCCTTAATTTGGCCACACAGCCAACGGCCTAAACTCAAATACTGTATTATGGTGTTAAGAAAATGTAATTATGGTTCTTAAAGTTTCTATAATTTTTTCCCAGAGATAAAAATGTAGCAAGATATTTTACAGAGAAGATTGAAAAATGTGCACGACATAAGCATGACAAAAGGAGTATTTATTGGCTATTGCTAAGTTATAAGTATGAACATTTTGAATAATACAGACTATATAGAGAGAATATGTGGACTTAAGACTGTGAGAATGTTTCTAGCTGTAGAATATTTACTTCCAGCCATTGGAAATGAACAATCTAATTGAGAATATTTTCTTGGATGAAATAATGATGTATATTAATACATGCAGTATATGTATATTTGATTAGTATTGTGAGATATTTTATGGTTGAAATCTGGAAGGTCATTTTCACCAATTATTTTTTAGAGCTAATATGTCATTTTGACCCATCTGTTTTTACAGTGTTTTTACAGAACTTCAATAGGCAGAGTTATGAGCTGAATCAAACTGCAAATTAAAATTATCATCTACATAGCATGCACTGAAAAACAGATATGAAGAATTTATTTTAACGGTTAAGGCAGGTTCGGCAACGCGAAAAAGCATCTGACAAGTCATGAAAATTGAACAATAATCAAGGAGAACGAATTCATGTTCAAAAATCAAAACTAATCGAAAAAAAACAAAATCCGAAAAATATAGTTACTTACGTCGCAAAAATCTTTCTTACAAATCGAACTTTATGCTGATAATATTTTTCTTAAATTGAACTCAATAATTAGCTCTTGTTGCGATTACTTCTCAATTTATGAAACACTCACCCTTCGATGGGGTCAATTGCTATATCTCGAGGCTCGAGAGTTTTAATCAGCGTTCTGCTGTCTTTACCGTCTAAAGTCGCCACGTTAATGATATGCTTCCAGTAATCACTCCAGAATATACGACGTCCTATCCAATCAATTGTTAATGCCCATGTCTTAGCATCCTTCACAACGATCTCTTCATAAGTTCCATCATAATTTGCCCGACGAATCTCTTTCTCGTATTCTGCAAAATATATTTTCTTATTCGTCATGTCAATGTCCAGCGTCCGCATATATCCTTTTCCATCTACGACGACTGTTGCATCCAGCGTCGTTAAATCGACAGCCAAGATTGCAGTGTTGTTCGCCAAAAACATATATTGCTCAGGATAAGGTCCTGGAAAAAGATTACAGCTGAAGTCAAATACTGCGTATTAATGTACAGGTTTGCATAGTTAAAAACGGAAAAAACTAATGCAGAAATGTGCTGTTTTCTGTAATTGTTCGCTGGATAAATTTTAAAATTCGATCCAAATTTATTTCTCAAAAACATTGGGGCGAGTGCGCGGCCAGCGTGATTTTCCATACAAATCTATGAGTGAGGGAAATTTACATTTGCGCTTTTTGCTCGATTTATCCAAAACAATTAAAAAATTGCTCAATTTCAAAGATTATTGAGGATAAATCGTTTTTTGTTGATATGTGGCTGGAAGTATTAGCACTGTAAATTCAAAAGGGTAGTTTTGATCCCTTAAAAGGGGTAGTTTTTTTGACCCCAGGACTACCCCTTCAAAAGGGTAGTTTTGGTCCCTTCATAGGTTACCCCTCGAAAGAGTAGAATCTACTCCTCACAGAGGGTAGTTTTGACTCCTCAAAGGGTAACCAAATCACCCTTCAAAAGAGTCGTTTCAACTCTTCCAAAGAGTAAAAAGAGCTAACTTGAAGGGTAGTTTCAACACTCAGGAAGGGTCATTGCAGCTCCTTATTTAAGTAAACTAAAAGTGGAAAGGAGTGATTCTACCCTTTGAAAGGGTCGTAACATCTCTTCCACAGAGTAAAAATAACCCATTTGAAGTGTAATTTCAGCAGCTTATAATATAAAGTACAAAATTTTTAGACAAAAGAAAACATTTCTAGTAATGAAGTTTATTAGCAAGCTTTGAAACATCACAGATAAATTATTCTTATACATTATTTTAGTTCAAAATATTAAAACTACTTATTTAGTGGCCATACTAAATATATAAATGCCATACATTTACATCTGACAGTTTTTTCAAAGTACTGCTAGGTTTGTGCAATACCTTGCTCAAATAAACAAGTCTTTCATGGACTTAATTAAAAATTGCCAATTGGCAAGTTTAGGAAAGTATCCGATAGAGCTCAGATAATGAAATTAAGCCCTTGTATGAACCCAGAAGTAGTTGAATAAAAATATTCATGCAAGAAGACAAACACATCTATGCAAACTCACTGCATGTCTTCAATTATTACACATAAGCTAAAGTCATTCACTCCTGAGCAATGTTTCCCTTTGATTATTGACCAGCTGTTCTTAAATTTTGTATATCATCCCAAACATGAAAATATTTATAAGATAACCTGGAGTATTTTTGTCCTTGAAAATTAAGTGCTGCAACACTGTGGGTCCAATTAACCATTGGTATAGCAAATTTTCCACTGAATTTCTTGCTCACTACCTCAATCCATGTTCGTAATAAAACAAAAAAGCAAGCATACTTGAGAAATCAGGGTTAAGATAACAAATGTTAAAGAAATTAAGCAGTGCATAATATATGTGAAATATATGATTGGCAATGCTATGCACAGTTTTGCATGCTCTGACAGATATAAAATTAGGCATAAAGGGTAGTCATCTGGTAAGCTGTCAATGATTTTTCCTTTTATCTATTACATGATAAATAAGTATATAATCAATTGGTCAATAAGTCTATAATTACCGGTATATTATATTATACATTAAAAACTAAGGTGAATAATCTAACAGCATTGCACAATTCCTTATAATGCATTACTTACCACAGATATTACTTTCCAATGAGACCTCTTTCATTACAGGTTTAGACTTAAACATCACCACTTAATGTTAATCCACCATCTAAGAATGCATATAAGAATTTTTAAAAGGCAATATAACAGTTATTTCATCCTAATTCTTAATCAAAGCTTATGTATATCCAGTAACCAAGATTCAGTATATCATGATCCTAAGATTGAGTGCAAATGTTTCAGCTAAAATTTGACCATGGTTTTATAGCCAACGTCAATATCACACTTTATATGGCATAGTGCCTATAGTATAAACCACGTTAAAATATGTTTATATAAACGTCGTTCATTTATCGGGAATGATGAGTATTAAAACTGCGAATATATCTGTTTATTGTTTGTAAATACGTTTACTGTTTACGCGGCAAATTCAAAAATAGCTTTCGTCTGTTTGCGCGTATAATTTTAAATCCTTACCTCTTAGGGCCTGTTCAGATGAGCTGGGCCAGCCCGGTTGAGTCGGACTAGCTCGCTTTTGCTGTTTTCATATGAGCCCGTTAAAGGCGAGATCTCGCTTTGTTCAGGCGAGATCTCGCCAAAGCCGGGCTGGCCTGGTTCCATATGAATGCAATTTTACAAATAAAGTAAAATAATATGTGAGGCGAGATCCCGCCACTGCCGTGCTAGCCCGGCTAAACCGGGCTGGCCCGTCTGATATGAACAGGCCCTTAGAAGACTGAGATTCCCAGCCACTTTTAAAACAATCTCCGCAATCTTCTCCAGGAAATCTTGCGACATAATGTCCCGTAAAATTTAATATAAATTCGAATAAACTATTCAAAGTACTTGTCGATTATTTCGATTTATTCTTCGCAAAAGAACAAACAACAACGTGCGAACTGCGAAGTGCGAAGCGACAAGCGACGCTATCCCGACACGCATCAAGAGCGCGGTGCAATCCTATCCACAGTAATCCACAATAATCCACAGTTCTTTCCGCTAGTTGGCAGTTAGCGAAGTTTAAAATATATATTTTCATAAGAAACAAACTACGTCCATTCAGAATGTTTAAATAGGCATTAAAACCTTCATTTCGTCTGCATATGAAACGAAACTTGCGAATCTTTGCTCGGTTATTAACGAAACGGTAATTTTCATAGTTCGGTTACTCTTGGCAATTAGAGTCAAATTGACTCCTTCGAAGAGTAACATTACCTTTTGGTAGAGTAGCAAGACTCTATTGTAGAGTCGTTTTGACCCCACCATAGAGTCAAAACTACCCTTAGAGTTGAAACAACCCTTCAGTCGAGTCAAAACTACCCTATTGAAAAAAGGACGGAAATCACCCCTAGGGGTCAAAACTACCCTTTTGAATTTACAGTTTGTGAATCAGAGACCGGTAAGTGTTAAAATTTGCGTCTTTCTTGAGGTGTTTTTGCGAGCTGTTTGCCCCCCTGGATATAAACAAACACCATTTATTAACTCGATTTATGTGACGATAAAGCACTAAAATGGGAAAATTTTAACCAAAATACGAAGATCTATGATATGGGAGAGATAATATGTAACTTGATAGCTCGTGCGGTGGACCAACACTGTTAAAATCTCCTTCACCTGTTGTCATATGTCAGTTCATAGTTGGTTATGGTGTATTTACTGCGACGTTGAAGTTATTATATTTGTTGGGAAGCCTTTTTTAATATACTCAAGAGGATATACAGCCAAATAAGCTTAAGCTTACAATCCTGTGTGCTTGCGATTGTTTAGACAGACTCTGCATGGTTCTGACTAAACTATGCGTACAGTATTAATACCATTAGGCATTAATTAGTAAATCGAATATAGTTGAGGCAAACTTATTTTAAATTCTACTTAAGGTAAAAAGCATGGCTCGACAATTTAAACCATGTACACTTACTTAATACCAATAAAATAAATAACACTTATTTACTGCGATCGAAGGAAACATTATGTTTTGTGGACCCAAGACATGTTCAGATCATAGCTGCCAACACATAATTTTAAAACAGCTATTCTGTTGAATACCTGTTTATACTGATAGATATCAAGCCAACACATAATCTTTTAATATTTCACAAAGTCTTTTAATATTTGATATTCATTTATATGTAATAAAAAGGATAACATTCTCCCCAAGCTGCGAAAAAAGGGATTTGAAACTGTCTGGTGATTATTTGTTTGTTTTCATTATATTAAAGGCAGAGTCATGATAGTATTGTTTATTGTTACTTCAATGGTAGTGATGTTTATTGTTACCAAATGTTCTAAATTTATAATATCTTCTGTGCAATACCCTGCTGACATTGTAGTTTCAAGTTGGAAATAAAGCAATGCTTGAGTTGCAAAAATATTTCTGTTCTTTGACCCTGAAGTTATTAAGGAACCTTGATAACTATAATGTCTTGTCCATGCCTTATATTGCAGTACATGATATTCAGCAAATATATACCATTTGTGTGATATTAAAGTCAATTTTAATTCAAGTGGTAGCTAAACTATGGTCTGGAATTATCCAGGGGGTAGTTAAACTATGGTCTGGATTTATTCAAGGGGTAGTTAAACTATGGTCTGGATTTATTCAAGGGGTAGTTAAACTATGGTCTGCAATTATTTCAAGGGGTAGTTAAACTATGGTCTGGAATTATTCAAGGGGTAGTTAAACTATGGTCTGCAATTATTTCAAGGGGTTGTTAAACTATCGTCTGGAATTATTCAAGGGGTAGCTAAACTACGATCTGGAATTATTCAAGGGGTAGCTAAACTATGATCTGGAATTATTCAAGGAGTAGCTAAACTATGATCTGGAATTATTCAAGGGGTAGCTAAACTATGATCTGGAATTATTCAAGGGGTAGCTAAACTATGATCTGGAATTATTCAAGGGGTAGCTAAACTATGATCTGGAATTATTCAAGGAGTAGTTAAACTATGGTGTGGAATTTTTCAGGGGTTAGTTAAACTATGGTGTGGAATTATTCAAGGGGTAGTTAAACTATGGTCTGGAATTATTCAAGGGGTAGCTAAATTATGGTCTGGAATTATTGAAAGGGCTGTTAAACTATGGTCTGCAATTATTCAACGGGTAGCTAAACTATGGTCTTGAATTATTCAATGGGTAGTTAGACTATGGTCTGGGGTTATTCAAGGGGTAGCTAAACTATGGTCTGGAATTATTCAAGGGTAGTTAAACTATGGTCTGGAATTGTTCAAGGGGTAGTTAAACTATGGTCTGGAAATATTTTGGGGGTAGCTAAATTATGGTCTGGAATTATTCAGGACGTAGTCAAACTATGGTCTGGAAATCAAAACAAATAATTAAATATTGATATGAAGATGTGTGGCTTTTAACTGACTGTTAATCTGAGC